GTGGTGGGAGCGCTCGGCAGAGCGACAGGAGCTAATGGTTGTACAGCAGTCGGATCAGGTGCAACAACTACCAAGTTGGTGGAGCTTACAGTGCCAGTTGGTGCAGTCACGGACTGGCTAACAGACTCAGCCAGAGAAGAATTGACAACCAGACTGAGGGACGGTTGAATTTGCGTAGCAAAAATCGGTGCTGCAATAGAGGCAGCGTCGGTGTGAGGAGCAGTAGTGGTTGGAGTACCAGTGGGTAGAGGGTTAGAAGGCCGCACAGGGAGGAGACGAATGCCCATAACATTCCCAGAGGAAGAAGCAGATATGCCTGACTGAAGGGTATGTGATGGGATACTTCCAGTCTGTCGTTAATGAAAGAAAGCGTAATAAAGGTTATATGTAGGACGCACAATATTGAAAGTGGTAATACTGAGGAGGGATTTTGCCAAGTTAAATAAATGCGATGGTAGATATTGGCGAAGGGAATTAAGTTTGAAGGATGTGTTAACATCTACTGAATAAGCAATATGACAAACGGAGCCCAGGCGGTTATTTAAGGTGGCTAAATTGGCTGCGGTGGAGAAAACACTGACCCCCCAAAAAACAGACAATTGCGTTTCAAAACTGTCCGTGGTTTGCAGTCACTATCTGAAACAGCACTAAGGCGTAACGAAAACATAATGTTTCACTACTTCCGTCTTAATATCAGGCAAAACAGAATAGTCCTAGACTGACAGAGCTTCTACTCAAAAAAGAGGAATACTATAAACAGACAAATTGGGAAGGTCATGAATATGAACATGAAACGAAACAAACGCCGAAATCGGGAAGATGCAAGCAATAGGAAGGATTTGTAGTAGAAAGGCCCGAAAAATGTTCCATATATAGAGCAGATGAAAAGCTTACTCACTGACGACTCCGGTCGAAATAAAACTATGTTATTACAAGTTTTTGGAAAGCGGCTGGAACATGCGTACGTAACCCCACCTTATGCTATTAGGAGCGAGAAACCGAACTCTAGTCCATAGATTTCTGTACGACTCTTTAGCAAGATAACCTTATCTAATACTTACAATAAGCGATAAATAGGAAGCTAAAATTGTTTAACTGTTGAGATTTGTACGACTAAAGTTTTCTTTAAACGATGTTTAACGGTGCTAGCCGATAGTGACAAAAAATGCGATAAGAAACAACTGCAGTTAGATCAGCTTTTGTCACAGGCTGACAGCTAGAAGCACGTTGCGTGTCATGACGGATGGGTGCAGTAAACTGCAGCGTAGGGAGTTAGTGGAAATATCTTGTCAAGCGAATAAATCAATGTGCAGGAACAGTCTATTTATATCGATAGCGGTCAAAGAAACCAACACGAAAAAGAATGGCGGTAGGTAGCTCAGTGACGCATGCCGTTACGGATGTATTAAATTCGTTGCTTGCAAAAATATCGACAGAAAAGGATTACATTTCGAAATTGCAATAGCCACATGTTCAATCGTGGTCGACTGTTCGGAGGTAAGAGCGCTTACTGATTAGTAGTTTAGATACCTCAAGTGATCTTG